TGAAACTATATTTCTAAGAGGAAGCAGTGTAATTTCTGTAATTAATACCTCAACTGTTCATAATTATTTGTTCGCCGTATAATTAGTTTTACAAAATCTTATATTAATAATATAATTTGTTACACAACAAATTATAATTATAAAGCAGTCTTACAAAAATGGGTGCATTATACACCTGAGACATTGCTAGAAATTTGTCCTTCTTACAGGAACATCAAGAGTATATTATTATAAAATCTAAATAAACAAATTGAGAATAATACTTAATTGTACACCTTTTAATTAGATAACTCGCTGGTGGTTCCATTGTCCAAAAAATGAAAACTACGATAGCGATCGAAATCCAATTCTGTTTATGACGATGGACCTCTTTTCCTTTTGTTACTGTCTAGTTTTTTATAAGATTTTTTATTCTCGAGTCCTGTGAATAAATATAATCCTATTAAAATTCATAATCATGGTTAGTTCTTAGTATAAAATTCTATGCTTAACAAACATATTTCTCGTACGTTTTACTTTCGCCACTCGAGAACGCGTTAAACGAGGCGATGATTTACATAAAAGAGGGGATGACGGTGAAGTCTTCTTTCTCAGTTGAACTATTTGCTCCATTGCAGGAGTCATCCACTTTGCTTTAACGTCGCTGGATATAGAAAAGTAAATTTATGATAAAAATCTGAATAATTTATTAAAATATAATAATTTTGTAGAAGTAATATACTTACTCTGCAGATTTTGACATTGCTCTATATCGAAATGTGCCTGATTGTTTCTCTTTCATCCTCTGTATTACGTTTAGCATAGCATATGTGGGTAATGATGGAGGTGGTGGAGACGGTGGTGGTGTAAGCGGTGAAGGAGGAGGAGGCTGTATAGTAAGTTTTGCTAATTTGTCAGGATGTAATGCTAATACTGCCTCCCAACTAAATTCATTTCTTTCTACGGGATTTAGTTTAGGTTGTGTATTTCGTGTTATACGAATCTACAAACAATAATGTTGATTGTCATTACTTAAATTAGTATTAAAACTATAGAAGTTATTGAAAGTTAAATTTATTGTTTACCTCGCCGTTAACTGGTCTACAAGGTTTCCTTTCTCTCAAATATGGTCGTTTGAAAGATATTGGAAAAGGAATATTTTCATTAGATTCTTTTACACGATATAAGCATGTAGGAACATCATTCTTCTGATTAGAACCAGATTGAAACAAACTACGAAGATAGGAATAATTAGGTTTCGTTTCAAATCCTAATTCAGTAATATACTTCATGTATTCCACAATAGAAGCTGGAAAGATATTAAACGTTAGTAATTAAATTTAAAGAAAGGTAATTTCTTCAATTGTTTATGAAAAATAGTAAACTTACGCGGTGGAGGTTTTTTCTTGGAAGGAAAACATTTAGCCATAAATAATGGTAAGTCTGAAAGTAAGATTTCTTTCTGTGCATGAACATCATCTGGATCCAACATTGATGGTACACTATCATTTTCTTTCTCCCAAGGTAATCTACCACATAACCATTGCAATATATTATATCCTAACGTTTCTAGATCGCCTCTTCTTGAATGTGCTGAAATAATGTACGTTTGATATGAAGTAATAAAGTATATACAAGAAACTTTATATGTATAGTATTTTTAAGACCTACTTCCATGATGTGCATCTCTTGATGTAAATTCTAATGTCCCTTCGTGTGCCCTCCTTTCATCGTGAACAAATGGCTTATGAATACATGATCCCGTACGAAAACGGTAGGCTAATCCATAATCAACTAAATATGCCCGCGACTGTTTTGTATTTTCACCTTCTTTGCACAAAGATAATAAAATATTTGATCCCTTAATATCTGCATGGGCATATCCGCGACTATGGATGTATTCAAGTGCATCTAACTACAAGAGTTAAAAATAAATATGAATCAAATTAAATTATAAAATTTCACATTCATTAAAAAAGCTATTCGGTTTGTCAATAATTGAGTACCATTTGAAGAGTAAGCCTATTAACATGTTTCAGTGGTAATTTTCGTCCATTTGATAAAAACAATTTTCCAATATCTACACCATATCTTGGTATTACTAGAAATCTGTATTTTTGACCTCTATATAAGTGAGAACCTGATCCTTCGTATGTTGGAACACCTATTTGTCTTTTTCCTTGTGATTTACACCAATTTTCAACTGTAATGTAGAATAAAGAGACATAAACAGAATACAGGTTACATATATTGCATACAAACATTGCACATTATATCATACATAAAACAATTACTTACTCATTTCTTTTCGAGCTGCTCTTATATAAAAATTCATTTCAACAAACAATGGACCATTAGTATGTGGTTCAATCTTTATCACATATTTTGCATTTTGTGTTACTGGGGCGTCAATGTTCTTCGATGCTACAACATAAAAGATAAAAAAATTTGATGACGTTAATAAATAATATAAATTATAGATCAAATATCACTACAAGAAAAATGTATGTAAAGTAACAAGCATTAAGGAAATGTCTTTCTTTTCATTTATTATGAGTTTTTATAACTTTTAATAGAGCGTATCTAATTATACAAAGATACTACCTAAATATATATCACCAAATCCACCATATCCTATTGCTTGTCCTAATTTCCATTTGTTTTGGGTAATATCTGTCAATATTTCTCCTTCTGGTAATTGCTCAGGTAATTTACAACCTGAAGCTGCTACTCTTTTTGCAGGAATTTCTTCAATTCGTCTTGGAGCCATTGTCACTACATTAAACATGTACATGCAATATAATATTTTAGTATCTCATATATGTATGACAAAGTCTATCATTGTGTACTCAGAAAAAGTAATGCCCAAAAATAATTAAGAAGGTTCCAGTAATTATTGTTTTATATAATCATAATATTCTTCATATACATTTTGTATTATCTGCTATATTACATATGCATATTATACAAAAATGTATAAATAAATATATCATTGCTTTGATAATAGGCCAATGAAAGTGCACTTAAATGAGAAAGCAGAAACATAGAAAATATTAAGAAATTATAAGAACATTAAGAAAAAATATAATTGTACATTTTGTACGTGCAAATTCATAGTTTGTTTGTTCATATGGATTTGTAAAATGATTAATGCGAATCTATATGATAACTGAATATGTGAACAAAATATAAAAACATATAAAGTATAATACAATACTTACATGATGTAATTTCAATAAATATTTATTTCCCTACTAAAATGGATATTCAAATTCATTTCACGCTTGATTATTTAACGCATTGTACACATTCACTGCTCTCGTATCAACGACCGGTATAATACAGTGGTAAGTAAATGTATTATTTAAATTTTTTAAAAATGGGGTTATCTAATAGATATAAATTATGCGGACATTATTGCAGAAACTGTTCACATCATTTTTTATATTTTCACAGTAATTTACGTACAGTTCACAATAATGCTTTTTAATACAGTTTTGTTTTTCTTCCGTTCAAACTATACTAAAAAAATCTAATTTTCTGGATTCCATATCCCACTGTCAACCAAAATAGTGAACTAGTAATAAAAACCGTAAAATATTGTCTTATTCTAGATCTTATATCTTAAAAAACGGGTTAGATGACACTGTGTGTAGTACAACTGATTGTTTTGCACAATAGTAAACAATATTACTTTGTTGTATTTTGAAATTCTATCAATCCCCCATGAAATTCACTTCATTCAACTTAAGAATGCATCACACTGCCATTTCACGAGCTGATGGGTTTAACGGAATACCGAAGAACTAGAGGGCGCTCTACAATTTCAAATGTGTGGATATGTACATGTACATTATGTATGTTTGTATGCATATTTTAATGAATTTTAACTATCCTGAAATGTATAATTGCATGTCTAGATCTGTTTTTACAATGTATCCGTTGATAGAACGAATTTATCATATTTAATTTAATTTCTTAATACTACAATCGTATGGTAAATGATATCTTCCGATTTTAGTACCACATAGCTTCACTCCTACATCATTCTGGGCTGCAGCTTGCTAAGCAGTCGAAGATGAGGACAGAAATTGTATTGCTCTGATTGGCTGATGATTTAATGCTATGAAAGGATTCACTACGGATTGGATGCGCTGTGAAATGGTGAGGATTCAAACGCTTGGTTAGAGAGGAAGAAAAACGTGAAAGAGTTGGAGCTAATACTATAAATTTTCACAATGATATTACTTTCCACTGGGGCCTTATTGTACTTGATGACAACATCGAATACGTATATTCGATGGACTTAGAGCATATGTATATGTACCTGGAAGTAGCATTTACTACTTCATTACTGCTGAGTATGAAACCAATCCGTAGAAAGAAATAGATACAAATTCAGTATAGCCTGTCTCTTTTCATTGGATACGGATTGGCTGATGTTTCTCCCCTCTTATTTTTTTCAGTGCATACTTTTTAAAGTCAGGGCCCGGTCCCGTGGTCACTAGGCGTTATATTTTTAGAGGTTATATGGTTATAGCAATAACGCTATATGCCAGGTTCCAGAGCGAAGCGGTTTGTGTTACCTTTGGGTTTCTTTTTACCATTTTTACACGTACGTGCGTTTTTTGGAATAATAACAAATTTATCTTCATCAATAATAAATATCTCTATCTGTAAAATAAAACAAATGACGTTATTTCCATTGCGTTTACCTTATTTAAAAAATCTTTTTCATATTAAATTAAAAGAAATAACAATAAATTAATTAAATTATATATATAATATATAAAAAGAAAATAGAAAACTTGCATATAGGTACAGGGTCCCGATACTTCTTTGTTCGATCCTGGATTAAAATGAGATCAGTTATACTGAATTTGAATCTATCTCTTTCTACGAAGTAGTTTCATACTTAGCAGTGATATGACATAGATGCAGTCTCCAGGTATACAACAGGGTGTCCAAAATTATGTTACTTTCGAGAAATGAGAGGTTCCTTCACTTGAAATAACTTTTTTCTTAGCGAAAATGCAATCCGCGGCTTTGTTTATAAGTTACAGTAATAGGACCTATTCCTGCATTCCTGCTTTTTTTATTCACTAAGCTGGTGTGCAGATTTCCACCATATTACTGCGCATCCATCTCCGGAGTAAATCCCGTCTCAACAGTGAATTATCAGGCAATCAGAATAAAGCAATTTCTGTGCGTACCCTCGCTAACTCAGCAAGCTGCGGCCTGAAGTCCCGCAGAATGTAGGTCTTACTGGTTCATTCAAGATCCACGAAATATCTAAAATACATAGAAAGGTGTCTAGAAAGTTCGTAGCTCTTAGCAACTAGTGAATTATGCAGTTATATTATATTTATTAGTAATGTAATTTATGTAAAATTAGAGTTCATGATCATAAATTTATTCGATTTTTATATTGTACATATGTACTCAAATCCATACATAAACAATACGAAACGTGATGCTTTTACAATGTATTGATGAACACACGGGAAATATACCATCAACCATAGCCTTCTAGAAGCGAACAGCGCGTGAAGCCGTAATGGACGAAAAGAAGTGATTACCAGCTGAAAGATTGTGAAAGTGAAGTTTAAGTCTGCGTATTTCGTAAAATATCTATTCAGACCTGCAGGCTCGATAGAATGACATAAAGCTTTTTAAAGCGATGTTTAATGTATTGCTTCTATTTTCAAATATATTATGTAAGTATAGAATTAGTTCTTTGTTAC